CATCCTTTTCACCTCCTCTCACTAAATAAACACACATTTTTAAAAAGTTTATCCTTCAGTTTATCTAATATTTTATTTTTTCAATGCTAGGCTAGCAACTTACCTAGTCTGAATGTTAGTTCTGAGAGATCACTCCAAACCCAGAAAATTTCATAATAATACATACTCATAATAATATATTTAGATTTTTCATTAAGGGAACCTAATTAATGCATATCTTATGACTGAAATAGTAATCCTCTTTATAAATTAAATTCTGTGGTTTTTTTGTTTTTTTTAGGGGATTTTTGGTCAGTTGCAGGGCTTGTACTAAGAGCCTAGACACTGTCCCTGAGCTCTTTCACTCAAGGCTAGCACTCTACCAGTTTGAGCACAGCGCCATTTTCGGTTTTCTGTTGGTTAATTAGTGATAAATGTCTCATGGACTTTCCTGCCCGTGCTGGCTTTGAACCATGATCCTCAGATCTCAGCATTACAAGCATGAGCCACCAGAACCCAGCTTATAAAGTACATTCTTCTAGTTATAAAAATGAACTTTTAGCTTATTTTCAAAATGGAGTACATATACAGGTAACTTTAGTTTTTTGGTTTTTCTGTTGGTCTTGGGGCTTGAACTCTGGGCCTGGGCTCTGTACCACTTGGGCAATAGCACAACTTCAGGTTTTCCAGTTCCTGCCTGAGCTGGCTTTGAACCTTGATCCTCAGATCTCAGCCTCCTGAGTAGCTAGGATTATGGGCGTGAGCCTCAGGCGCCTGGCATGATTTTTTAAATCATTTTTGTTATCTTTAAATAGTTATACAAAGGGGTTTCAATTCAACATTGAATTTGTGTGTACAATGCATCTTGATCAGTGTCACCTCTTCTGCATTCTTCGCCACATCTATCCCAGCCCCACCCATACCTTTAAGTTTCCTAGCTCCACTGTCACGTATGTACATTGACTATCATGACCTCACTCCCTCAGTAAGACTTGTTTTAGCTTCCTGACAGCCACTTGGTTAATCTGCTGTTTGCTGTTCAAAGAAATTTACCCAGTGTACATCATGCTTTAGTTTGGCCCTGGTGGTGTCTTCATATATGTTATTTTAGCTCTTACTTCAATATATAATAGAAAACATGTCCTTTGTCTCTTAGCCTGAGTTAATTCATTCAACATCATTTTTTCCAGATCCATCCATTTCTCTGAAAATGACATAATATCATTCTTCCTGATGGATGAATAAAATGCTATTGTGTAATTACACTATACTTTCTTAATCTAGTCATGGACTGTAGGGTAGCTGGGCTGTTTTTCATATGGTGAACAGTGCAGCAATGAACATGGTTGTGCAGTTATCTTTAATGTATTCTGACTTTGGGGATAAATGACCAAGAATGGTATTGCTGGATCATTGAATAGTTCTATGTTTAGGCTTTTAAGCCATCTCCACACTGCGTTCCATACAGCTGAACTAATGTACATTGCCACCAACAGTATAACAGGATTCCTTCTGCACAAAAGATTTAAATAAAAAGATATTCTTTACCACTCATAAAATACCTATGCAATTTGTACAAAAGGCAAAACATTATTTGAAGTAAACGAAATAGGTAATTAGTTCAGAGAGAGCAAAAGTATCTCCTATTTACAAGCAGTCCAATTCCAATGATACCTTCAAGCCATATGTGTAACCTTTCAATAGAATTCAACTCAACAGGTGCCTACTAAGAGCCTTAACTATACATCATACATGATGTCCAATACAAACCCACTGCAGTTTTCATTCCAGCAACAGCTTATTGCCCTAATCTTCCAACTCCTACAGTTGAACAGAAAACTCAAATCAGCTATGTATAGTCTTTAAGGAACAGTCAACAGATAAAGCTTGAAAGACCTAGGACCCTGAAAGTGGAGAAACACCCTAATTGACCTCCACATCCACCCTGCACTCTTGCTGCAGGTAATGTTGATTTCTGGCATGGAAGAGCCATGCAAACTACAAGTGGCCCAGACTGCATGTTGTGAACAAAGGACAAGGAACTTGTAGTCTAGAGCCACCAGGTTGAACTTAAAGGGAAACTTGCTCAAAGGAGGAAATCACAGAGAATTGAGCCAAAATCCAGAAATCAATGAGAAACCAGTAACGCCATTCCTCCTGCCCAGATAAAATTTACTAAGAAGCCAACCTCAGAATTACTCTACTCACCTCCTGACAGTATTCAGCCCAAAGTAAAGCTTCAGTTCCCTAACTCTCCCCACCAAATCACCTATATAAAGCCAAATTCTCTGACACGTCTTTTTGGGTTAACCTACTTACCGAGAGGCTCCACAATTCCCCAAAGTATGTTTATCTTTATGTTAACAACTCAGTAAACCCAATTTTATTCAACTATAGATGTGTTCCTTGATGGTCTTTATCAGCAGAGTATTGATAAAAATCTAGGAACATAATTAACCCTGACTTTACATAAAAAGGAAACATCCATCTCCAGACCTAAGGAGCAAGACACAGCAAAGCATGTACTGTATAATACCATTTATACCCAATTCAAGAATTGGCCCTCAGAGCAGGGACCTGGCAGGGGGCAAGAAATATATCTGGATATGGGTAGGACTTATCTGTGTATTCACTGTAAAACTGTCAGCTATATATGTGAAATGTGTACTTTATTATTGTATGGCATACGCCAAGAAATTGAGCATACACTGACATCTATACACAGGTACATATTGCCCTCAGAAAACCACGATAACATCCTGGACATCTTTTTTTTTTTTTCTTTTTGTTTTTGGTCAGTCGTGGGGCTTGAGCTCTGGGTGTGGGCGCTGTCCCTGAGCTCTACGGCTCAAGGCTAGAGCTCTACCACTTCAACCACAGCGCCACTTCCAGTTTTCTGGTGATTTATTGGAGATAAAGAGTTTCATGGAGGGGCTAGGAAAGGGGCTCAGTGATAGAGTACTTGCCTTGCATGCATGAAGCCCTGGGCTCAAATCCTCAGCACCACATAAACAGAAAAAGCTGCAAGTGGTGCTTGGTTCAAGTGGTAGAGCCCTAGCCTTGAGCTGAAGAGTGGAGGGACAGCACCCAGGCCCAGAGTTCAGGCACCATGACTGACAAAAAAAGAATTTCATGGGCTTTCCTCCCCAGGCTGGCTTTGAACCACGATCCTCAGATCTCAACCTTCTGAGTAGCTAGAAACACGGAGGTGAGCCACCGGCACCTGGCTATGGACATCTTAAAAGAAGCTTGACAAATACGAATTTCCATTCCTGAAGAGCTTTCACAATGCTCTATAATAAACAGAACAGCCGGGCCCTGGTGGCTCACACCCGTAATCCTAGCTACTCAGGAGGCTGAGCTCTGAGGATCACGGTTCAAAGCCAGCCCAGGCAGGAAACTCCATGAGACTCTTGTCTCCACTAAATCAGCAGAAGTGGCGCTGTGGCCCAAGTGGTAGAGCTCTCATCTTGAGCTGAAGAGCTCAGAGACAGCGGCCAGGCCCAGAGGTCAAGCCCCACAACCGACAAAAAGAAATAAAAATAAACAGAACAAATAAATCCAAAGATGACCAAGCTGTATCATCAAGCTATTCATCAAGTCTCAAGAATAGATGAATGAAAAATGTTTTATAAACATGTTTATACAAATGAAAATCTCATGTAAGAAACTATTTAAATAACGCATTTCCAAAAACAGTTTTAGGGGTTAGGAAGGTGGCTCAGTGGTAGTGCTTGCCTCGCATGCATGAGGCCCTGAGTTCAATTCCTCAGCACCACATAAGCAAAAAAAGCTGGAAGTGGCGCTGTGGCTCAAGTGGTAGAGCGCTAGCCTTGAGCTGAAGAGCTCAGGGACAGCACCTAGGCCCAGAGTTCAGGCCCCACGACCAACAAAAAAAAAAAAAGGTTTAAAGTGATTTACTAATCCAAAATTATCCATATACATGAAATATATCTGTTTTGGGGGAGGTGGAGAGAGAAGGGATGGTAGGGGGAAAACAAAGGAGGAGGTAACAACACTCAATAGGAAATGTACTCATTATCTAACTCCCTCTGAACAGTATTTTTACAATAAAAATATATACAAAAAAAGAGATAGCTGCTAAGATTAGGGGTGAAAATATCATTGTTGCTTTGCAATACACAAATGTGTGTGATTGATAATGTGTGAAAACTAAAGAGAAAGCTATAAGTATTACTAAATATAAAAACAATTTAGATTGGAATGTCAAATATTATGTAATATTGTCACTGAATATAAAAGAATTGATAAAGAGAAGACAGAGGGGAGAAGACAGTGTTGGAAATGATCTTTACAACTTTGGCAGGAGGTAGGAGGAGTGGGGGAGGTGGAGGAGGGAAGGGATAGGAGAAAAACAAAGGAGGGGGTAACAATGTTCGACAAGAAATGTACTCATTAACTTTCTCATGTAACTTTTACCCCTCTGTACAGCATCTTTACAATAAAATATTTACAAAAAGAAATATATCTGTTTTCCAAGAAATTTGAAATACCACATTAACTCTTACCTTGTGTTATTAAGATTGTATGGAAATGTGCCAGCCACTGGTGGCCCCTGCCTGTCCCCTTCTAACTATTCAGGAGCTGGGAGATCTGAGGACCACAGTTCAAAGCCAATCCAGGCAAGGAAGTCCACCAGACTCTTATCTCCAATTAAGCACTCAAAAAACAGAAGTGGATCTGTGGCTCAAGAGGTAGAGAGCCAGCCTCAAGCATAAAAGCTAAGGAACAGCATCCAAGTTCCTAGTACTGGCGCGCGCACACACACACACACACACACACACACACACACACCTATGTAAATGATAACGTAAAAGTGTTGTTTCTATGTTATTTGCATGTATACTGAAATCTTGACACATTTATATACTATACTGCAGTAGTTGCAAGGCACTGAGTCTAGTTTAAATACACTAAAATAAATGCAGACCAAGGCTCCTGTCCCGGAGCTCATTCTGGACACTTGTATCCCCCCTGCAAGTGAAGGGAGTCAGGCTCACCACTTCCTCGTCGGACAGCTCTCGCCCCTGGATGCTGCTGTTCTCCCTCACCACTTGCTGATGCTTCTTCCCTTTAATGTGGCTGAAGAGATATACCTCAGAAGAGATCTACAAGCATGAACCCAGCAATGAGTCAGTATCACACCATAGCTACTCTTTTAACAGTAAACATGCAAGCCTGCATGCACGCTATATGCAAGTTAAGATCACTTTAGCTTGCCTGGTGTTGATGGCTCACACCTGTAACCCTAACTACTCAGGAGACTGAGATCTGAGGGTCACAGTTCAAAGCCAGCCTGGGCTTTGAGCCCAAGAGACTCTATCTCCAATTAACCTCCAAAAAGCCAGAAGCAGAGCGGTGGCTCAAGTGGTAGAACACCAGCCTTGAGCAAATAAACTCAGGGACACTGCCCAGGCCCTGAGTTCAAGCCTCAGAACCACCACCAAAAATAGAAATAAAAATTAAAATCTCTCTAGCCTGCCCTTACTAACTTTAAAATATTTTCCTGGGGGGCTGGGAAGGTGGCTCAGTGGTAGAGCGCTTGCCTTGCATGCGTGAGGTCCTGGGTTCGATTCCTCAGCACCACATAAGCAAAAAGAAAAAAGCCGGAAGTGGCACTGTGGCTCAGTGGTAGAGCGCTTGCCTTCATGCATGAGGCCCTGGGTTCAATTCCTCAGCACCACATAAGCAGAAAAAGCTGAAAGTGGCGCTGTGGCTCAAGTGGTAGAGTGCTAGCCTTGAGCTGAAGAGCTGAGGGACAGCGCCCAGGCCCAGAGTTCAGGCCCCACGACCGGACCCAAAAAAAAAAAAAAAAAAAAAATTCCTGGGCTGGGATGTAGCTCAGTGGCAAAGCGCTTACCTAGCAAGTGCAACATCCTGGGTTCGATCCCCAGTACCAAAAAAGAAAAGTCGGAAGAAAAAAAAAATTTTCCTAAAGACAAAATTCTGAAAATTCTCTGTAAGACATATGATTTTTTAAAAAATGTGCTATGAGCCAAGCACAATGGTTCCCACGTATAACCTCAGCTACAGATTACAAAGTGTGAGGAGACAGAGATCAGGAGGATGGCAGTTCTAGGTAAGACTAGGCAAAAGAACAAATAAGAGCCCATCTCAACAGGAAGTGGAACAGGGCAGTTCATACCTACAGTTCCAGCTACACAGGAGAAATAGCTTGGACGATCATAGCTGGCCCAGGCAAAATCATGAAAAGTAACTAAAAGCAAAAGTAACTAAAGCAAAAAAGAAGCAGGGCTATGGCTAAGGTGGGAGAGAACCTGCCAAACATCAAGAGGCCCTGAGTTCAAACCTCATAGTCTGTACCACAGATCATGGCAAACCTAACAGTGAACCGCTTCCTCCATTCCCACAAAGTGTCACGGTTTAAGACTCAGCACTGAAAAAAGCCTGCTGTTTTTGGTTCCCACATCCCTAAATACTAATTCTGGCTATTTCTGAGGAGATAAGCACCCATTTTAGTAACAACTACATGCTTAGGCATTGGCACTGCTACTCCTGGAGTACCATGCACTGCAGTACTGATACTCCTGATACTGGGCACTACAGAACTGCCGTTTACTACAGTACTGTGTACTGCTTCTCCTATAGTACTAGAGAACTGCTAATCCTGTACACTTTATTCCACAGGACTGTTAATACTATTGTACCATGTACTGCCTCCCTGTAGTACTATATAATGCAATACTGTTATTCCTATACACTGCAGTACTGGCATTCTTGTAGGTACTGTGAATGGCAGTACTGCTATTCAGCACCTTGAGATAACTCAGAGTTATCTGCCAGTTCTGTATCTTATCTACCCTAGCATGGGCTTCCTAAACTGCAGTGGCGCGTGGAGACCCTACGCACTGCCAGGACACCCACCAGCACGTTGCAGAGCGAGCACTGCTTCTTCCTCTCGTACGGGGTCAGTTTGGGGGCGTAGTCGGTGTTTGCGTGCCGCCCGCTGCTCAGCTCGGCTGCCTTCTCCTTCCTCTGCTCAATCTGCTCCATGTGTCTCCGGATGCTTTCGTCATGCTGCAGGGAAGTTGGATGGAAGTTACATGAAGAACCTGGGCAAGCTTGGTCCACTACAAGCTCTCCGATGGGAGGAGAGAGTCTGACTTGGATGGTAGCTCACACACTGAGGTGTACATGAAGTCCTTCCATACCTCCGTGAGCACAGCGTCTCCAGAGCTGTGCACCATGCAGCGCTGACAGGTGTCTTGTGGGCAGTGCCACAGGCACATGAATCTGGGGACCAGCTAATGCTGAACAGGTTATCTGTATGCTGGTCCAGGAGCTTGAACTCAGGGCTTGAGTACTATCCCTTAGCTATTTCGCTCAAGGCTGGTGCTCCACCACATGAGCCCCAGCTCCACTTCTGGCTTTTTGGTGGTTCAGTAGAGATAGGAGCCTCCCAGACTTTTTTGCCTGGCCACGATCCTCAGATCTCGGCCACCTGAGTAACTAGGATGACAATGTGGGCCACCAGCAGATAGGTTTTTAACAGAACTGTCCAGCGCTTCTAGTCAGTCACTCTGCTCTATGGCGAGACAGGCTAATTCATGTTATTCAAGTTTTGCCCACCACTCACTTTTAAGAACTATTTTCTAGCACCTGCTTAGGGCTTTGACCCACAGCAAAGCTGGAGCTTGGCCTCACAGCAGGTGACCCCATCAGGATACATGCCTCACTACAACATGTCTGGCTGTCCCTCACCTCCCAGGGAAGGCTACTAAAAAGCTAGTTCAAGCAGGGGGCCAGTGGCTCATGCCCATGGTCTTAGCTACTCAGGAGGCTCAGACCTAAGGATCTCAGTTCAAAGCCAGCCTGGAAAGGAAAGCCTGTAAGATTGTGATCTCTAATGAACCAGGTAAAAGCTGCAAGTGGAGTTTTGACTCAAGTGGTAAGAGTACCACAACAGCTAAAGGGAGAGCACCAAGAAGATGAATTTAAGCCTGAGTACCGACTCACAAAAACAAACAAAAAAACTATGACTATCAGAGACCTTATGTCATTAATGAATTGCTAAGTAAAAAACAGGAAACTTCTGAAGGCTTTTTTCTACAATGATTTTTTTTTTGGGGGGGGGTCCAGTAGTGGGCCTGAACTCTGGTCCTGGGCGCTGTCCCTCAGCTCTTCAGCTCAAGGCTAGCGCTCTACCACTTGAGCCACAGCGCCACTTCCGGATTTTTTCTTTTTGCTTATGTGGTGCTGAGGAATCGAACTCAGGGCCTCAGGCATGCAAGGCAAGCGCTCTACCACTGAGCCACCTTCCCAGCCCCTACAATGATTCTTTCTACTTTCTACTATATAGAGCTAGGTCTGAAGCAGTCACCCAACCCAGCTCTTAAGAGTTGTTGTCTAAAGACTGATAACGTAAGCCAGTTCACATCTCTGTATGTATGAATTTGGACCCCACGCCACCCTGTAGGCTCAGAACTGTGACTGAGGCTGCACCACCTGCACACCTTGTGCTGGATCTTCTTCTGCAGCTCTTCCATCGCCTCTTGCTGAGCAGCTGTGAGCGCTGCTAGCCGCTCCTCTCTGTCCCTGTGTCAAAAGAGCAAATCCATAAATGACTGCAAGGAGTAATAGCTCTCAGGATGCTATAAAAGTACACCAAGGGTCAGGGATGGAGGCTCATGCCTGTACTTGGGAAGTGAAAGTCAGGAGGACGACAATTCCAGCCACCAGGACGAAATGTTAGTGGAACTCCATTTCAACATATAAGTCAGGCGTGGTGGTACATGACTCTGGTTGCAACTGAGGAGCTCAGCCTGAAGCAAGCCCCAGGCGAAAACATAAGACCTTATCAGAAAAATAATAAAGGGGGCAGGGAAGGCTGAGGACTTCGCTCAAGCAGTAGAGTGGCTGCTTCGCAAGCTGGTGGACCTGACATCACAACCTGGTATAACCAAAATATATACATATATACACATAGCAGCTTATGTATTTGAAAGGATACTATTTTTTTAATTATTTGTCTTTTTTTAACTGTGGGTCAAAGCCAGGATGCTGCATTTGCTAGGCAAGCACTTTGCACTGAGCTACATCCCAGCTCTGATGGGCTATTATTTAAAATATTCTTTTGACCTCCAGATTGATTGTTAAGCATTTGGGAAGTAAGAGAAGGTGACTGCTTCTCTGTCACCTGGTGGCCCGCATTGTCATTCTATTTAACTCAGGTGGCTGAGATCTGAGGATCGCAGTCAGATAGAAAAGTCTGGGAGACTCCTATCTCTAATGAACCATCAAAAAGCCAGAAGTGCAGCTGTGGCTCAAGTAGTGGAACACCAGCCTTGAGCTTATTCCCTATGAACATGAAATTCTGAACCCAAGCAAGGCCTTAAGTATAAGCTTTGGGTCTGTTATTTGAATGTAGCATGTTGCATATTTTTCTTTGCTACCTTGAAAAACTTTTTTTTTTTTTAACGGTGTTAGGGCTTGAACTCTGGGCCTGGGCTCTTCAGCTCAAGGCTAGCACTCTACCACTTTGAGCCACAGTGCCACTTCCCATTTTCTGGTGGTTCACTGGAGATAAGAGTTTCACACTTCCCTGCCTGGGCTGGCTTTGAACCACAATCCTCAGATCTCAGCCTCCCAGGTAGCTAGGATGACAGGCCTGAGCCACCAGCATCTGGCTGAAAAACCCTCTTAAAAGCAGGAGAAGGGCTGGAAAGGTGGCTCAATGGTAGAGCGCTTGCCTTGCATGCATGAGGCCCTGGGTTCGATTCCTCATAACCACATAAGCAGAAAGAAAAAAAATGCCAGAAGTGGTGCTATGGCTCAAGTGGTAGAGCGCTATCCTTGAGCTGAAGAGCTGAGGGACAGCGCCCAGGCCCAGAGTTCAGGCACCACAACCGACAAAAAATAAAAAAAAAATTTAAAAAAAGCATGAGACAAGGCATAAACTCACAAAGAACAGGAGAAGAAATGATCAAATCATAAAACTAATAATCACTATTTCAGAAGCTAAAAAGTGAACATGGGGAGGCAGAAAACTCAGCTTTCAGGGAGAAACCACCAAGCCAGGTAATTACATGAACAGATTCCACAAAAGCTCAGGAACTGGAGAGACTCCTGGGGAAGGAAGAGATGTAGGCCAAGGAAGCAGGCCACAGATTGGTACGGTGGCTCTTCTGTGTGATCTGAGAGTGCTAAGTGCGACTCCTCCTTGGGACAGAGATGGAGATGATGGAGATGTTGGAGATGATGGAGACAAGGACAAAGACAGGGCAGCACACGTGTACCTAGCTCGTTCCCGGGCTGCATCTTCTCGGGCCTTCTCCTTCTCCTGGCGTTGCTGCTCAATCCGGGCTTCTTGTTCCTTCCTCTTCATCAGCAGCTCCTCCACGCGGGCCTGCCGTTCTGCCTCCAGAGCTCTCTTGCGTTCCTAATGTGTAAGGTATTTTTCAGGAGGTTAGAAATGTGTGCAAATAAACCTAACTGAAGGTGGCGTGATGTATAAACCCTAGCCACATAAGTCCCTGCCTCACTTACAGGGACACCAATCTCAGAACTTCAACAGAAATCAAAGGCTTTTCATAGGCCATTTACCAGTGTTGCATCATCATGATCAAACTGTGTCCTGTGCAAACTTCTGCCTGCAGCAGAACTCGCTACTTCTTAAGCTTACCAGCAATGATGCATTGCTTTCAACTGTTCCCCATGTCCCTGATCCCTCCTTCTTCACCACTAATGCAGCAAATGACAGGTGCTCAAAGGCATCCCACTTACACAGCCTCCCTCTGCCTTGAAAGAGCCACTGGTGGTTAAGAGATCCTAAGTAACTAATTTTTGCTAAGCGTTCAACAGAGTATCTAGGCATAGGAAGGGCTCTGTAATGGACAGCAATTTAAAAAAAGGCTGCCTTTGTCAACCAAACCCCAAAGATCTTTGCTGTTCTTCCCTTCCCTCCCAGAATACACAAAGAACTAAAAAATTAAACAGCAACAATAACTTAAACAGAACCAATAACTTAGTAAGTGATCAAGTGAATTGGATAGTTCTCATCAAGAAGAAATAACAATGGCCATAAACACACAGAGAAATGTTCAACATCCTTAGTCATAAAGGAAATGCACATCAAAACCCCACTAAGATTTGACCTCACCAATCAGAATGACAGCCATAAAGAAAACACACAACAACAAACGTGGGGCTGGGAAGGTGGCTCAGAGGTGGAATGCTTGCCTTGCATGCATGAGGCCCTGGGTTGGATTCCTCAGCACCACATAAGCAGAAAAAGCCAGAAGTGGCGCTGTGGCTCAAGTGGTAGAGCACTAGCCTTGAGCTGAAGAGTTGAGGGACAGAGCCCAGGCCCAGAGTTCAAGCCCCATGACAAACAAACAAACAAAAAAAATGCTGGTGAGGACCTGAGGCCAAAGGTACCTTGTTACACTACTGGTGGAAATGTAAATTGCTATGGAAATCACCTTGGAGGGCTCTCAAAAGACTAAAGATAGCTCTTCCTTATAAACCCACCATACCATGCTTGAGTGTATAGGTGAAGTGGGTGAATCAATACACCAGAAGACACCTGCTCACCCAGGTTTACTGCAACACTGTTCACAACATGCAAACAATGGAATCAGCTGAGGTGCCCAATCACAGATGGATGGATGAAGAAAATGTGATACGTTTCCAACAGTGCTACATTAACCCATGTGTTAATATGGAACAAGGACAAGTTAACACTCCTTTATGGATTCTCAACACTGACTCAGCCAAGCAGGTGACAGGTGTTCAGTAGGTGTTTGCTGAATACAAGCCTACCTGCACGGCTTCATCGCGTGCTTGCTTTTCTTCTTGTCTTCTCTGACGCTCTTCCTGTAACTCATTAAGTCTTTGCTCATATTCCTTCAATTTTGATAAGACATCGTGGCGTTTATTCTGGGCTTCAAGGGTATTTATGAAGGCAATTTCGTTTACCTTTAATAAAAAATTATGAAAGCAGAGATAGAATCAAGTTGATTCTAGTATAGGTCACAAAGTTTGTAATTTTACAAGAATCTTTATGTAAACCAGTGGTAAGTCACAGTAAAAACAAAAATAAGAAATAAGCTGGGCACCAGAGGCTCACACCTATAATCCTAGCTACTCAAGAGGCTGAGATTTGAGGACTGCATTGGAAGCCAGCCTAGGAAGAAAAGTCTGTGAGACTCTTATCTCCAATTAATCACTCAAAAACCAGAAGTGGAGCTGTGACTCAAAGTGGTAGAGCACTAACCTTGAGCGAAAAAGCTCAGGGACAGCACCCAGACTTGAGTTAAAGCTCCACGACCCACCAAAAAAAGAAGAGCTGAACCAGGCACTGATGACTCACACCTGTAATCCTACTCAGGAGACTGAGATCTGAGGATGATGGTTCAAAGCCAGTCCAGGCAGGAATTCTGTGCAACTCATAACTGTGGTTCAAGTGGGAGAGCACTAGCATTAAGCAAAAAAGTTCAGAGACAGCAAGCCCCAGGACCAGTACCAGCACACACGCATGCACACACATATGCATGTGCAAATACAGACACATAAAGAAATGTAACAGTTGGTGGGGGTTTTTCCTTCTAAATTCTACCTCAAAATGAACAGTAACCCAGTTTACTTAATGAAACCACAGACTATAGTAAGAACTAATTTACAGAGCTGCCACTGAAAACATTTTTAAGAAACAATTTAAGATTTTTACAGAGAGCATTTTATAAAGTTGTATTTTATTTTTAACTACACAAAATACTCTATATTTAATTAGGTAATTCATATTATTCATATTATATAATTCATATTATTCTAGTGAGTTTGGGAACAAAAGTTAAAATAATATTTTTTCTTTTCCATATACTGAATAAGCAACAATTAGGTACAAAGTGCTCAACCACATACTGTATCCTTAGCCTCTCACATTGATTGCTTTCATCTGTGGTACTGGGGTTTAAACTCAGGCTCACATTTGGTGGGCAGGTACTATATCCACCCCCGTACACAGTCCTTTTCTTTCTTGCTTAGTTGTTTTTTAGATCAAGTCTTACTTTGGCCCACGGCTAGCCTGATATCAAGATCCTCCTTCTAGGATTTCAGACACGTGGGAAACCAGCCATATTATTATTTGTTGAGATGGGTTGGGGGCTGGGGGGTAGTCTCAATCTTACGAGGGTGGCCTCAAACTGTAACCCTGCTCATCTCTAATCTCTGCGTCCCAGACAGCTGTGGAGCCTAGCTCCCTATACTGGATCTTAGCAGCCAAATTTTGTGAGACAGGCCTTTACAATCTCACTTGGCAGCTAAAGGCTGGCACACCACCACTTGAGCCACTGGCTCTACTTCTGGCATTCTGCTAGTTTACTGAAGATAAAAAATAATCTCACACATGTTCCTGCTTGAGTTGGCTTCAAACCTTGATCCTCAGATCTCAGCCTCCTAGTGGCTGGCAGCTAGGATAAGCTACTAGCTAACAGGTAATCCTAGTAGCTAGTATTAGTGTCAAAGAATTTTTGAAATACGTAGAGAAAGTAGGAAGAAATTAGAAAAGGGAAGGGGAACTAAGAAACAGTAGTAAGAGGAATTTGATTGAAGTACATTATTTGTATGTGTGAAAATGTCACTGGACACCATTATTTTATACAATGAATATACACCAACAAAAATGCTAATAGCTAAAAACTAAGACTACAAATATACTCCTAAGAATTTACAAAAGAAAAATAAAAGCATACACCCACACAAAGATTTGTGAATGTGTGCAAACCAAAGCTCAACTTACAAATTAGGGTATTTCATGAAGTATTCATGTGTATGCTTCCATTTAAAAGTATTCGTGTGTGTGTGTGTGTGTGTGTGTGTGTGAGAGAGAGAGAGAGAGAGAGAGAGAGAGAGAGAGAGAGAGTTGGTACCAGGACTTGAACTCAGAGCCTGGATCCTGTCCCTAAGGTTTTGTTTTTTTTTTTTACTTCAAAGCTAGTGCTCTTCCCCCTGAGCCACCAGCTTTTTGGTGACTCAAGATAAACATCTCACCAGGCGTTGGTGGCTCACACCTGTAATCCTAGCTAATCAGGAGGTTGAGATCTGAGGATGGCGGTTCAAAGCCAGCCCGGGCAGGACAGTCTGTGAGACTCTTATTTCCAATAAACCACTAGAAAACGGGAAGTGGCGCTGTGGCTCAAGTGGTAGCGTGCTTGCCTTGAGCTGAAGAGCACAAGGACAGGGCCCAAGTCCAGAGTTCAAGCCCCATGACTGACCAAAAAAAAAAAAAAGATAAAGATCTCACAGACTTTCCTGCCTGAGCTAGCTTTGAACTGAGATTCTCAGATCTCAAACTCCTGAGTAAATAGATGACAGGTGTGAGTCACTAGCCCCCTAAATGGTATCCTTCTTTTCAGGGGAAAGAAAGAAATTACTGACATACACAATAACATGGGTAGAATTCAAATAATTCTGCTGAGTGAAAGAAACCAGTACACTGTATATGATCTCCTTCAGGAGAGTTCTAGAAAATGCAAACATCTAAGGTGACAGAAAGCAGATCAGTACCGCATGGTAAAAGATTTAGAAAAAGAAGTGAATTACAAAGAAGACTTATTATGTTCATTGTACAGCTGAAAACTCATGCAAACTGAACATTTTACAGGTACGCTGCTCATTCTCTGTCCAGTAAACCTCAGAAGAGTGAGAAAATAAATGGTTCTTAAGATTACTGGAAGGATAAAGTAAGATACTGTACCTAATAAATTTTAAATGAGTCAGTAAAATACACAGCTATTCTGCAACAGAACCAACACTTGATAAGCATCACCATCTATGAACACTATAAAATGCTACCAAAAGTCCGTGGCAATTAACTGCATGTTAAAGCGCCTATAACAGACCTTAGCTTCCTCCTCTTGCGCTTTTTTCACAATTGCTTGTAACTGCACTTCCCGTTTGAATTCAGCATGAAGTAATTTCTCTTCCATCATCCTGCGTCGCTGATCTAGTAGTTCTTCCTTCCACTTTCGGACATCCTTCTCCTGTGTATGACAAATGATGCTATCATTAACTTCAAAGCAGAAGTGCACACAGGTAAGAGGCTCAGGACAGACACAGCATAAACCTGAACCCATCTCCAAAGCCTGAGAGATGACAAAAGCCAGAGACTGTGAATTCCTGGGGTCCATCATCACCTAGGATAAACCATATACTCAGCTGCACAGTACACAGGCAGCATGTTTAGCTATCATATCTACAAAAGAGGGATAAGAAAAGTAGGATCTGACTCCTAGGGTTATTTTGGACATTGAGTTAACCATGTACAACTCGGTACTGGACTATCTGTGGTTATTACCTTGTGCCATACCACAGACCCACTCAAAACAAACTTATTTGTATTCATTATCTCTATAATAAAATCCACAGTCAAGAAAAATAAGTAATTTCCATATACTTTTTTATTTTGCCAGTATTGGGGCTTGAACTCTGGGCCTGGACATTGTTCCAGAACTTTTTTTGCTCACGGCTAGCTCTCTACCATTTGAGCCACAGCACTACTTCCAACTTATTCTGTGTATGTGGTGCTGAGGAATCGAATCCAGGGCTTCATACATGCTAGGCAATCACTTTACCACTAAGCCACATTCTCAGACTCCATATACCGTAAGACCCTGTCACAGGAGAAGTAAGACTTGTTCTGTCTAGGAGCTGGTGCCTCATGCATGTAATCCAAGCTACTCAGGAGGAGGCTGAGAGGTCAGAATCAAGGTTCAAAGCCAGCTCAGGCAGGAAAAGTCTGTGAAAATCCAGAAGGGGAGTTGTGGTTCAAGGGGTAAAATAACAGCCTAGAGTGAAAAAGTTAGGGAATAGTGCCCAGGTCCTGAGTGCAAGCCCTAGTAATATTAGACACCAAAAAAAATATGGTTTTGTGCTCTAGCAACTAAGATTCAGCACCAATGATGAGAAATCACAGAAAATCAAAGCAGCTCGACATGAGTATATCCAAACAGTGATACTTTCACATTTGCTGATTACAGAAGTTAAGCAGCTTTCCATAAAAGCATTTAGCCATCTGCACTTATCCTTTGGAATAGTGTTGTTTTTTTTTTTTGTTTGGTTTTTAGTGTTTCACCCACTTTCTATCAGGTTACTTGTTCTCTTGTTATTGTTCAAGTTTCTTTAGATCTCAGCCTCTGAGTAAAAGATTACAGGTGTGAGCCGCAGTGCTCAGCAAATGTCTCTTAATATTATTTTTGTTACAGACTACAAGTTTTAGAGCTTTTTTTTTCATTTACTTCAAAGAATTACTTATATCCTTTTTTGATTTGTTTTTCCACACAGCCATTTTAATAGTGTGATTTTTGGTTTTCATATCTTTGCTAATTTTGCTAATTTCTACTTTGATTCCACTGCAGTCTAAAAAGGCACACACTGGCTTTTTGCTGGTTAATTGGAGATAAGCGTCTCATGGACTTTCCTGCTCGGGCGTGAACCAGGCTTTGAACCAGAATCCTTAGATCTCAGCCTCCTGAGTAGGATTACAGAAGTAAGCCTCTGGCTTACCCATTATTAGGTGATTTTAATGGTTTCTTATGTGTTTACAATAATGTTTGCCTTTGAGCTTATAAACATGTTTTAATTTTGCTGGGTGCCGGTAGCTCAGGCCTATAATCCTAGCTACTCAAGATGCTGAGATCTGAGGATCACAGTTCAAAGCCAGCTCAGGCTCAGGCAGGAAAGGCCTTGAGACTATCTCCAATAAACCACTAGAAAACTGGAAGTGGCACTGTGGCTCAAGCAGTAGAGCACTCACCTTGAGCTGAAGAGCACAGGGACAGTGCCCAAGCCCAGAGTTCAAGCCCCACAACCGACAAAAACAAAACAAAACAAAACAAAAAAACATGTTTTAATTTTAAAATAAACTAATTTCAACAGCATACAAAACTTACACATTTGGGCTGGGAAGGTGGCTCAGTGGTAGAGCACTTGCCTTGTATGCATGAGGCCCTGGGTTCAATTCCTCAGCACCACATAAGCAGAAAAGCTGGAAGTGGCGCTGTGGTTCAAGTGGTAGAGCGCTAACCTTGAGCTGAAGAGCTGAGAGACAGAGCCCAGGCCCAGAGTTCAGCCCCACAATCGACAAAACAAAAACAAAAACAAAACCAACTTACACATTTACCCACCATCATATTTTGTCATCTTGAAGAGTTAATTACTTTTTATATTGCTGATGTACTTACAAATGTTGGTTGTTATGATGGTTTTTCAGTTGTCTTTGGAATTTTCTACTAGAGTGGCTAGTTGTTTGTGCACCACATCTAAGTGGTCAACCCCTGTGAATCTCATTACTCAGCCTAATGATACTTCTACTTTCCTATGCTTGCTCATTGCTCTCTGTGGTCATTGTTATTTTGATTCTATTTTTTTTAATCTATTAATGATGTCTTCCCAGGCAAGCCAGTTGTGACTAATCCTGTTTTTGTACAGATAGACAGCTTGCAAGGCACAGCATTCATAGTTGGCATACATTCTTCAACCGCAGAATTTTTTTGTAACCCTTAACAATACTCAGGTGTTTATTTTGTGCAAATTGAAACTACCATTGTCAGGAGACGATTTCCATTTTACTTTTTGGTACACTGTCCGGTTCAACTTGACAAATCAACTTCAAACTAACTTGACACATACTAACGTACATAACCTACAAATAAATATGGTTCCCCAGTGGGCTAGCCGCCAGACCTCTTACCACAGCGGCACAAGGTTGACACGTCTAAACACAGCACAGCATACCATTTGTTCCGATCCAGGATTTCTACATTTCTTTTTGTTGTTGTTGTTGGTCATGGGCCTTGAACTCTGGATCTGGGCGCTGTCCCTTAGCTCTTTACCTCAAGGTCAGCGCTTTACCACTTGAACCACAACACCACTTCTGGCTTTTTCTGCTTAGGTGGTGCTGAGGAACCGAACCCAGGGCCTCATGCATGCAAGGCAAGCACTCTACCACTGAGCCACCTTCCCAGCCCCTCTACATTACTTAACGTTTCTCTTCTTTTATGAACTTTTCCCTTTGCCTTCATATTTTCTTTCCGATTTTGTGAAAATCATTTACTCGTATTCTCTTTAGCTCACTGACCTTCCACAGAACAATTATCCTGAATTTGTGTCAGGAAGCTTGTGGTTCTCCACGTGCTTGGGTCCACTAGTGGGAATTTACTTGGTTCCTGTCCTAAATTTAAATAGTTCCTGTATCCTGGCATTGCTGTGTGACATTTATGGAAGCATCCACCTTGTCCAGACATTATGAAACTACCTTTGGTAGTCACCACAGGACAGATGATGGAGGCACTGACAGGGAAAAGGGTGGAAGAATGGGTAAAACAGACGGTGTTGCTGCACCAGGGCTGGCAGTAGCCTGTGGAAGGCCCACTGCAGGTACTTATGTACCGGCCCCGAGGTATGCAGTAGCACACTGGTGGCTGGGGTTGGTGACATCAGTGACTATACATTTCCCAAGTGCAAAACATGTTAGGTATGTGCAGTGCCTTCAAAGGCGGCTGAGACCCTCAGGATCCACATATAACAGTGAACACACCTGCGCAGGTAGGGGCCAGAACCTCCGGCATGCACAACTCTAATGTTTGGCAGCAGGAACCATTCACATGCTAGACTCAGCATGCGTACACTGTGAGGATGGGAACCAGGGTGATTGGTGGCTTAGAGTCCTGCAGCTGAGGGGGCGGGCCCAGGCACACGCTGAATAGTAAAAATAAATCAAAGCCAGCCAGTATAGAAAAAAAGTCAAAGTGGAAGCCAGGGTTAATTCAAGAAAGATACACACAAGAAATATAAAAATCTCAGCCTCATTTGCCGGGAAATGGATGGAGCTAGAAGAAATCATGTTGAGTGAGATAAGCCAAGAGCAAAGAGACTAATGGCACATGGTCTCCCTAATAAATGGATGTTAAATCCAAAATGTTAGGTGATACAACAAAATTAACAGGACTTAAGAAACAAAGGACTTCCACTCATCTAGTCGAATCACTACTAAATAACCCCCATGCTGCTGATCACATGTATGGTGTATATGTGTACACCGGAGGGGAACCAGGAAGACAACACAGAACTAGAGGGAATCAGGGAAAAACATACACCAGCGGGACCCATCAGCTGCACTGGACACTGACCAAAATGAACTAAGCAAGTCAATGGCAGCGATGGGAGGGAGGGAACAAGTGGGAAAGAGGGAACAGCTGATGCTATGCAAAACGAAAGAAATGTACATATCATATCACCCAATGTGGAAGAAATAGCTGTATTGCAAAGCTCACAGAACCCATAAATGTTATTATAGACCATGACAGACAATTTGCTCCAGGAAAGTTAGAATGTGTTTGTGACTTTAACTGAGCGTCAGTATCCCACAATACTGTGAAATTTGGGAAATTATATAACCACTTAATCACAATAAAAAAATTTGAAAAAAAAAATCTCAGCCTCAAAAACCATCCTAAGGTGGTTCCACACTAAAAGTGTATTCAAGGAAACTGCCCAATGAAAATGGCAAAAGCAAAGCACATCTTCAAAAATCCATGCTACCAGGCACTAGTGGCTCATACCCGTAATCCTAACCTACTCAGGAGGCTGAGATCTGAGGATCACAGTTCAAAACCAACCTGGCAGGAAAGTCCATGAGATTCTTATCTCTAATTAACCACCAAAAAGCTGGAAGCGGAACAGAAGAGGCAGAGCTCTAGCCTTGAGCAAAAAAGCTCAGGGACAGTGCCCAAGCCCTAAGTTCAAATCCCAGAACCAGAACAACAACAAAATCCACGCCAACTTGCAAGTATACGAAAGAAAACATTCTTTTCCCTTATAAACAATTAACCTGTGGAATTGGGCAGAAATACCTCTATTTCCTAGCATATGGCTCTTTTACCTTCTATAAGATCAGAAAGAAAAGGTCTACTTGAAAATGAGCCCATCAATACTTTCACGGACAGTGGAAGCTCACCCTTTCTAGTAATTTCTGAAGCTTTAATGTTTTCTCTTCACGTAACTTTTCCCGCAGCTGCTGTGCTTTCATGTGCTTTTCTTCATATTTCTTCTTGGATTCTGCAATTGTTCTATTAATACAAACACGGGAACAAGAGACACACAAATGTTTATATCAGGCCAGAAACAGGGCTTTTCAGACTTTCAAATGCCTTCACACACACACACACACACACACACACACACACACACACACATGCACGCACATGCACGTGCATGCAAACGCACTATCACACACAGGACTCCTTTTGCTATTCTTCAAGAAGGTACTTTTACATTTCAGTGGACCTGAAGCTATCTGGAGATCCTGTGCAAAAACTGGCTATAGAACAGCTCTACTTAACAGCCCAGAGTGGCCAGCTGCCCTCTGTGAACACGTCAAGGTATTTTCAAAGATCAGACCTCTTCCGAGATGGCGAGGACAGTTTTTCGTGCATGTGAATGCCATGCCCTGGGAGTCTGGCGGGCTCTTCGTCTACAATGTCCCCCCATGATGTATTCTGACGCCAAGATTCTCGAGCTGTTCAGGAACAAAGAAAACCATGATTCCATGAAACCAGCATCCAAATGCAGACTTTAAACACTCTATCACGTTTCCATCTCAAACTATTCATTTTATGCAGAAACTGCATACAGTAAAATGATCAATTATATCCCACCTATACCACACACACATACACCAAATAATACCTTCATAATCCGCAAGGACATCATTCCAGTCCATAGACAAACCACAGAAAGACACACTCCCAGTGCCCATGCTGGCCTAAAAAGTAACAAGAGAAATCAGAAAATAAATTTCAACACAATTATTTTCACCTGAAAAGAACTGAACTCTACATGGAAATGATCCTATGGTTACTAAACTTCATTTTGAAAAAAAAGTTTAATATCAGCAAAAAAAAGCCTCTATTCTTCTGCAGTCACAATAATGACCAAGTTAAAATTCCACTTTTTCTTTCTTCTGTGTGACTTGAACTCTGAGCCTGCTTTTGTGCATAGCTATACATTTTAAAAGGCCATGAGAGCAGGGTGCCGGTGGTTCACACCTGTAATTCTAGCTACTCAGAAGGCTGAGATCTGAGGATCCCAGTTCAAAGCCAGCCTGGGCAGGAAAGTCTGTGAGACTCTTAGCTCCAATAAACCACTAAAAAAACGGAAGTGGCGCTGTGGCTCACGCGGTAGAGCGCTCGCCTTGAGCTGAAGAACACAGGGACAGCACCCAAGCCCAGAGTTCAAGCCCCATGACCAACCAAAAAAAAAAGCCCATGAGCCACTGAAACAAATAAATGTCAAGAGATACACAGGCCTCAGGCAATTACCACACACATGCTGACATACAATACACAAAGCATACATCAGAACTCCAGATTAAGTTGAGTAGAAAAATGTACAAGACTATAATTTACTAATCGCTGTTGTTCTTCAGGTTCCTTTCACTCACACGTGTGCCTGCACTCTGGAGGGCACGCAGGTGTGTGTCCTTGTTAGTAGACCACAGGAAGTAAAGCCACTTTATCAAGTTTTCTTCAACCCCCGTTAGTTACACTCTGAGTACACTGCAGTTCTTACTGTCCTCAATCAGAAAATGACAACTTCCCAACTTGTTGACTGCATCATATATGAAAGCACTGTGTAATGGTACAGTATTTAAAAAAATGATTGGCTATTATTATGGAAGACTAAATCACCACAGTGATTAATAGCTACTATTTTTTTATTGTTATTGAAGATGACTTGAAAAATCAACAACTGAAATAGCAGTGGATGAATTCTTATGCCTTTCTAGCCCTAGGAATTTTATACCTGTATAAGCTGAATGATTATGTTAAAAACTGGAAAAGCTCACAGAAAAATCACTGTCATTGTCGGTTTCAATATTAATGTCATTGTTTTCCTCAGCTTCGATTTCTCTAGTCAGCTGCTCTTCTTCAGCAATGGCACTAGCAATGGCTTCTTCGTTGGCCTTTTCCAAGCGATCTGCTAGCTCTTCTTTTTTAGCAAGGACTTCTGCCATGGACTACAAAGTAACAAACAAACGAAAGAGAGAATCATCATCACTAGACTGAAAATTCCACCAATTGTTTATTTCTTCACATTCCAGTGATGAATTAAACAGTACAAATCAAATAACAATCTAGAATCATAAAACCTGGGTCCAATAGATCCTCAACCACTGCAATCAGTATTTAAAAGTCTCTTTAAACCAAGAGCCTATCTGTTGTCCCATAAAACAGAACACTGATCCATAACTTACCTTCTCTACCCAACTGCTAGTAGGAGAAACTGTGATCCTGATTTAAGCCTCCTGAGTAGTTAAGGTTATAGGCATAAGCCACCAGCACCTGGCTTGGATAAACAGGGAAGAAGGGAGAATAGAGGGAAGAAGAGATAGGTAAGGAGGGAGGAAGAGGGAGAGAGGGAGGGAAGGAAAGGGAAGCTAGCTACTGGTTACTCACTCACATAAAACTAACCACTCAAAAAACGTTGCAAGAAGCTTGGTGCTGGTAGTGGCACACATCTGTAATCCTAGCTACTCAGGAGGCTGAGATCTGAGGATCAAGGTTCAAAACCAGCCTAGGCAGGATAGACCATGAGACTCTTAGCTCCAATTAATCAAAAGTAGAGCTGTGGCTCAAAGTAGTAGAGCACTAGCCTTGAACAAACAAGCTCAGGAACAATACCCAGAACCCTGAGGTTCAAGCCCCACAGCTGCCAAAAAAAAAAGCTTTGCAAGCTCCCATTCTCAACCAATAAACCATCTGGAATTGGGATGTGCATCTGTCATCCCAGCTACACAGGAAGTATAAATAGGAGGATCACAGTTCATAAGGGCCTATTTGTAAAGTAAGTAAAACAAAAAAGGCTAGGGGTGTGGCGCAAGTGGTTGAAAACCCATTTAGCAAGCACAACTATCAGAATGCTGTGCTATGGAAACCTTTATTGCTACAGGGGTAGTTTCTGTTACTTGTTTTCTTCTTTTTCTCCCTTTCTTTCTTTTAATTTGGATGTGAGGTTTAGTTTCTAAATCTTAAGCCAAAGTGCATTTGATCAAATCACATACAATGATTTTGGAAAAGTTTTCAAGTCTTTCTTCTTGTACCAAATAAGAAGAATCTTCATTCTATTGAGAGACTACATTCATGATGATCCCATTAGGATAGATAACTTAAATATACATCAGTGAACAACTAAAATGTAAAATGAAGCAATACACACAAAATGCCTTGTAAAACAGTGCTTGGTCCAACACAAAGTGAAAATGCAAATCCACATTACTGAGTTGACTGGCTTTTAACCCACTGGCCCAGAATTCTGAGAAGTTGCTCTTACCAAGTTAGCGGCACTCACATTTGAAATGTCTGAAGGGTCCATTTCTGTGTCTATCCTTGTGTGTTCTGCCTGAACTGCAGTCTCATCTGGTGGCAAAGAAGGGGTGTCCCTTGACTGAGTTCCCGAAACACACACTGCATTCAGGTGAGCAGCAGGCATGTCAAGAACTGACATGGAAGCATCTTCACCACTGCTAGAATTCCTCCCATTATCCACGGGGCTCACCATGAACTAACAAGACACACACAAGAGATGAATCAGAGATGGTGGAAAATACTTGCCAGCTGTTCAATCCCTAGTTCATTTGTTCGTTCATTAGTTCTCTTTCTTTCTCTCCCTCTGTCACACAACACATACACAAAGGGAAGATGGTGTTTTTAAAAAAGGGACATTGGCTTACACCAAATACAATACCTTTCAAAACCTTTAATTTAGTAAATATAACCCAGCCTTTATTTTCACTTTCTAACAGTGTAAACAATGGAATGTTTTATAATTACACTTCAATTCAAAAAAACCAAAACCTAAAACTGTGATTTTAAAACTCATACGGCTCCTTAAATAAATATTTAGTTAAGCACTGCAGAGGTCATAAAATTCCAGTTTGACTAATTATTCATATAAATATTAAGCTTTGCCAAGTCTTACAAGCTACTTCAGAAATTCTGCCATTGGTCAGTGAAGTGTTCCAAAATGTTGATTTTTCACACGAGCATTACTTAAATTGTGCTTCACTGTTTATACTGCGATCAACATTATTTATATGTCAGTCACCACAGTTTGTAATCTTCTTGGCAATATTTGTATTAGCATTACTGATATTTACAATTAAAGAAACCAAATCAAAGTGAAACTATAAAGTAATATGAAGAAAAGATGTAATAGGCTAATTCCATTTTTTAGGAGGACAGTAAAGAAAACAAATACAAATTGGCCACCAGCAATGAGCTCCATACTGAAACATCTTAGAAATAGTTTAAGTATTTAAATTTTCTGTATATGGATTTTCCTAGAATACCCAAACCATATAAATGTACTTGCTACACAGAAGTATTATTATTTTTATATGAGACACATTAGTAAAACTACTAAATGTTTTTAGGTAAAATTACAAAGTGATTTCTTCACTAAGTATCTACTATATTAAAAAGTTGTTTTGGTTTTTCTGCAAAGGGGTTGAACTTGGGGCCTGGGCACTGCATTACATCCAAGAAACATGTTACTCACTGACCGTCTGTTTAGTTCTCTATTCAACATTGCTAGAAATTTAAATGCTTTATAAAACTGCCCCCCCCCCAGGAGCTAGCAATCTCACCGAGGCACAAAACATACACACGTTGGGGCTGGGAAGGTGGCTCAGTGGTAGAGTGCTTGCCTTGCATGCATGAGGCCCTGGGTTCAATTCCTCAGCACCATATAAGCAAAAAGAAAAAAGCCGGAAGTGGCACTGTGGCTGAAGTGGTAGAGCCCTAGCCTTGAGCTGAAGAGCTGAGACACTGCCCAGGCCCACAGTTCAGGCCCCACGACCGGACCCAAAAAAAAACAAAACATACACACGTTAAAGAGTTACAGCACACCAAGAATAATGAAAGGAAAACTTCTATTATCATCATCAAAAAAAAACATGAACAGATTAGTGAGGATTTCCAATGGGGGGAGAGGGCCGGGGAAGGGGTAGAATCCAGCCAGGCACCAATAACTCAAGCCTATAATCCCAGTTACTCGGGAAGCTAAGATTTGAGGATCACTGTTCGAAGCCAGCCTGTGAGATTCTATTGCCAATTCATCACCAAAAAGATGGAGCTGTGGCTCAAGTGGTAGAAAAAACCTCGAGCAAAAAATCCTAATTAGCCAGGTGCCAGTGGCTCACGCCTGTAATCCTAGCTACTCAGGAGGCTAAGATCTGAGGATCTCGGTTCAAAGCCAGCCAAGGCAGCAAAGTCCATGAGACTCCTATCTCCAATAAACCACTAGAAAACCAGAAGTGGTGCTGTAGCTCAAGTGGTAGAGCACTCACGTTGAGCTGAAGAGCACAGGGACAGCGCCCAAGCCCAGAATTCAAGCCCCATGACCGACAAAAAACAAAATCCTAATTACACTTACACACACACACACACACACACACACACACACACACAGACACTGCAGCTCACCTAGACCTGTTTGGAGAAGGCAGGGAAAAGATTTTCAGAAAGAATTACCTGGGCTCTATCAATAAGCGGGTGCTCGGAAGAGTATGAGTCTTTGGGCCGAGCATCTGTATGATTAGCAGGTCCATGTTCCACAAAGCCCCCTTTCTCTGTGTCATCCTCAGGTAAAAGACAAATATTCTCCTTATCGCTGTCATCCTTTGACTTGGAGGCTTCTGTTGCTGGAGAAACTTTTGGCATGACTGCTGTTGATCGAGAACGAACTGGCCTTCCTCTCTGAACAGTTTCCCATCCTTCAGCATCTTTACGGTCTATGCAATAGAGGGAAGACAATAGGCCAAGATTTTTTCATATGGAAATCCATAAAATAGAAATATTTTCCAGCTAGGCCCAGATGGCTCACATATGTAATTCTAGCTACTCAGGAGGCTGAGATCTGAGGATTACGGTTCAAAACCAGCCCCATGCAGGAAAATCCGTGATCTCCAATTAACCACCAAAAAGCCAGACATGGAGCTAAGGGCTTAAGTGGTAAAGTGATAACCTTGAGCAAAGACGTGGAGGGACAGTGCATAGGCCTTGAGTTCAAGCTTCAGTAGCAGCACACACATACACACATGCATACATACACACAGACACATGTTAAAGGCCACATACGTAAGTAAAATAGCATTTGAACAATGAATGTATACTATGTCCAAGCACAGTTGCAAGCACTCTATGTATAGTAATACTTCTTCAGTTCTCATAGTCCCATCTTACCAATAATGAAACTGGGCAAAGAGTAGCTGAGAAACCTGCCCAGATCACACACCTAACAAAGGTAAAGTCAGGAGGCAAATGCAATAAACATGGCATGTTCAGTGGATAAACAGTTGTTTATGATAAAGATTATCAGAGGCTTTAACTTTTTTTGTACTGGTCCTGGGCACTGTCCCTGAGCTTTTTTGGTCAAGGCTAGTATTCTACCACTTAAGCCACAGCACTACTTCCAGTTTTTTGGTGGTTAATTGGAGATAAGAGTATCATAGACTTTTTTGTCTGGGCTGGCTTCCAATGTCAAGCTTAAATCTCAGCCTCCAGGGTAGCTAGGATTACAGATGTAAAGCACTAGTGCTGAGTTTTTAAATCTCACTTTTTTTTTTTTTTGGTTGGTCATGGGGCTTGAACTCTGAGCCTGGGCACTGTCCCTGTGCTCTTCAGCTCAAGGTAAGTGCTTTACCACTTGAGCCACAGCACCACTTCTGGTTTTCTAATGGTTTATTGGAGATTAGAGTCTCAAGGACTTTCCTGCCCAGGCTGGCTATGAACCATGATCCTCAGATCTTAGCCTCCTGGGTAGCTAGAATTACAGACGTGAGCCACCGACACCCAGCTAATCTCACAACTTTTTAAGTGTTTACTTCTACATAATTCATTTTATCAAATTTATATTATAATATCCTCTTTGACTCAATGCATTATTCAGAAGTATTTCCAAAAATTCAAAAATTTCAGAACTATTCACCAATCTTGGGCACTGTCCCTAAGGTTTTATGCTCAAGGCTAATGCTCTACCACTTGAGCCACAACTCCATTTCTGATTAGAGAGGAGTCTCAGACTTTGCTGTCCAAGTTGGCTCCAAACCATGATCTTCATATCTCAGCCTCCTAAACAGCTAGGATTATAGGTGTGAGCAAATGGTGCCCAGAGAGCAACCTTTTGTTTTAATTAGGTTATAATAAACAGGGGAAAGCTGGGCGCTGGTGTCTCACGCCTGTAATCCTAGCTACTCAGGAGGCTGAGATCTGAGGATCGCGGTTCAAAGCCAGCCCATGCAGGAGAGACCGTGAGACTCCTATCTCCAATAAACCACCAGAAAACCGGAAGTGGCGCTGTGGCTCCAGTGGTAGAGTGCTAGCCTTGAGCTGAA